GTCCATGTTTCCGTGCTCCTTGTTCCTCGTCAGTTGGAAAAAACACCACATTCGATGGCTAGTTTAGGGTAGTTTACCACCGTCCATGATCTTTTCGGCAGTAGGTGGCCTTTGCGTTCAAAAAATAGAACAGTGCAACAGCCCTCATTTGATTATGATCAAAAGATTGCTTTGTTTTCTGCCGTCTTTATGGTTTTCAACACAGATATTGGCAAAATGTTAGGTTGTAAGCAAAATTCTTGCCGTTTCGAACCCTGAAGTTGAAATGTGCATATCTCAACTCAAGCACAACGTTTTCATTTATAGTGAAAAAACATTGCAATCTAATCTTCTTTGTCAACATTTAGTGTCTGATCAATCCATTCGCTGGAAGTAATGGAGTTCTAGAGGCGATGAACTCGGACGAAGGTCGTTTCACCATCATGTTATGTTTCGTAGCATTTCCTCTTTTGAGGTGCTTTTTCAGATGGTTGGAAAAGTGGGTACAGGCAAGAGGGCTAGTGAATCAGACGTTTCTGACATAATTCCAGCTAGATCATTTGTGGCTGGGTCGGTTTTGCGGTCGGAGGCCGAGGTGTTTCGCGGGATAAGGGCTGCCACATTTATGGCGGTCCCTGCTAGGCGCCTGTGTCAATGCGCTGACAAATTTTGACACTTTGCAAAAACACCCCCCCCCCTTTGTAATAGCACCGCATGTGCGCGTCCTGCTGCGGTGTTGAAGACCGCAAAACAGGCAGCACGCTCATCTTCCGTGCTGTTTCACCTTTGCAAAATTTTGCTTACCCTCCGTGATCGAAATAATCAACGGAAATTCATATGAAGGTTATTGCGAAGTACCGCTCTACATCTACATTACGATCCGAACGAAAAACGGGTCGTTTTCATTGGATGAGAAGCGGTAGAAAAGGGCAGACTACTCTACGAAGCTGAGATTTTTTGCGGCATTACCCCATCAAACTTTCTGTGTTTTCTAACCTACTCCATACTCAAAACCATGAATCAGTAAGGCTGTGAAAAAAGGAGCAGTAGATCTTGAGAAAAGTTGGCAGTACCACCGGATAGAGCAAGAACTTTCCTTGAAACCTATAAATAGAGTACACAAGGCGAAGCACTCTTGTAAAGCGAGTAATTTTATGAAACATTCGAAGATCTGTATAATTTTCTTTGTTCCCGAACAGGATTAACCATCCGTTGTACCAAGCTTAATGAGGGGATCGTAGTAGGAAATTTTTGTAGGCGATTGGGTCTGTTTCTTGAGGTGCTAGTGATGGTGAAAAGTGATCGTTGTATTGAGATGCTTTGAGGTGGTCATGGTGGTAGAAGGTGGGAAGTCGCGTTGCTTGTACTGAGAAACTTGACGTTTCTCAGTACATAATATAGAAGGAGTAGATCATTCGTCTCCGCACATTCCTTGAACATATTTCTCTCCTCTTCCCCTCCCCCGCCTCCCCTCCTTCTGCTACCTTCCACCTACGCCTGCTCTACAGCTGGTTTTGGAGGGACGAGTGAAAAGTGGACGGAATCTCGACTGGTCCTAATATCAAATGCTAGAAATGCCTATCTTTATGAGTATGGTAGTGGTGGGGTTGGGCTCAGGTCGTAAAAGCACTCCCTTCCGTTTCAGGGAGGGAGTGCTTTCCTTGATGATGGTCGGGGAAGAGGTTGTGTCCTATGAAACTGGCGCTTGACCCTGTAACCAAATGACCCCACCTTCCCGTACAGCGCTGTACTAACTCCTTTACTGCTTCTATTTCTCAGTACTGAGATATCAAGTCGCTTAATCTCTAAAGAGTGAGCACAATATGAGAAAATGTTTATCTCAATGATTTTATTACAAATTTTAATAATCCGATGTGTGAGCTTCAGAAGATCATCAGTGATGGAAAACAAATTATAATATAACAGGCTAATTGTAAACAAACAGCAATAACAAGGGCAATTGCCAGAGGTTTCTTATATACTGAAGAGCGAATACCTCCCTGCCACCAATTGGGTGCGTAGCGTTTCTCCTCCTGGGGTCAGGTCACCTAAAATTGAGACGCCGTTCATTCGCTCGGAGCAAGCTTAGGACTAAGCCTAGGCCCAATCATAGGCTTAGGCATAAGCCAATGTGTAAGCATAAGCCTTAACCTAAGTCTAAACCCAAACTTAACCTTAAAGGCACAACCCAGGCAGAGGCTTTTTATAACTCTTCTCTTCGGTCAGAAGTATAGAACCCTAGGGGAC